AGTTCAGAAACTCACAGGTAAAGACATGGATTACCAGGCATGATGTGTAATATTCACCTTTCTGTTCTCTCTGGACCACCTGGTGGATTCTGATATATTGTCCCCTCACTTATCAAGTAGGAGTTCATTGTTCATTCAGTGAAGGAAAGGTATCATCAAAGTCCATGGTTCTTGATAGCCTAGTTCTTTACTATGATACTTTTTGCTCCTGAAAATCTTTAAACTTAAAACCAACAGAACCATCTGACATACAAAAACAGCATCTAAAAGCTCTCAGTCATTATTTGTGTATTGAAATAAGATCCTGCTTAGAAGTGTGTGTGTGTGTGTGTGTGTGTGTGTGTGTGTGTGTGTTAAAAGCTCCTTAATTTTCAAATCCCCAATTTCCTAATACAAATGTTAGAGCTTCTTAGTGCATAGCAAGGATCTGACCACATGCTAAACATAGCTTACAGAGACACAAAGCTTAACATGAACTGGGACTCACTTCTTTTAACTGAGGAGTATCTCCTTTCAAATAAGTGGTGAATCAGAGGGATGTGTAGAAGAGGAACTTATTTCTTATGCATAATTTTGGTTTGCTTCCAGAACTATGCAGATTTCTAGCAAAGAAAGAGTCAGGAAAAACAGCAAACCATTAGTTGAGACCAGACCGAAGTAGCTAAGACATGGAGAGATTACAGTTTATGGGCTGGGCAAATCTAATGGCAGCAATGCACTGGCCTATCTCCCCCAGATGGCACTTCATCTCTACAAAGACATTGGATAGGGCTATCCTATTCCTTGCCCTGAAAAGGAAGAAAAAGTTATAGATTTCTTTGCCTCAAAGCAATCTTCTAGAGAAAGGAATTGTTCTCTCCACATCAGTATTTTATCGGAATCAAGACTTAATGGTTAAATAAAAGGAAATGAATCCTGTTCTCTTGGCTGCCCGGCATGCACATATTCCCTGTCTTTCTTCTTCCCATAATGGCACTTAACTTTGTCTTAAAATGTGGCTTTTCTAAGAAAGAACTTATGTTTTCAGAAAACAGGACTTTTTCAAAATCAGGACTTCCTATGAGAAAATTTTTGCTGTCACTTTTTCTCGTATGTACATCACTTTAAGTGAGGTGATTCCCCTCTCCCCCTTTTTAAAAGAGAATTTATACTGACCCAGCTACCCTCACTCCCTCCCTACGTCATAAAATGTCAAGACAGCAGACTGGGTGCTACAGCTATAAAACAGAAAGAAACTATCAGTCCCACAGAGGGACCAAACTCATAATTGTGTTAAGAAATATTGTGATGGCCCTAGCTGGTTTGGCTCAATGGATAGAGTGTTGGCCTGTGGACTGCTGGGTCCAGGGTTTGATCCCAGTCAAGGGTGCAAACCCAGGTTGTGCTGGATCTCTAGTAGGCAGCCGATCAATGATTCCCTCTCATAGATGTTTCCCCTTCCCTTTCCTTTTCCCTTCCTCTCTGAAATCAATTAAAAAATATTTTTTTAAGATAAGAATTCACATCCAGCTCTGTTAGACTGCAAGGGGCATTCTGTTTATTAATCTGCTAACCATCTTTAAAGCCTTTGTTGCCACAGGACAAAAATAGTTTATTAAAGAATAGGTTAATTTTAAGATTCAAAGTTGTATATAAATAGATTTTTAGACTACTTCATTTAAAGAAAGAAAGAAAGAAAGAAAGAAAGAAAGAAAGAAAGAAAGAAAGAAAGAAAAAAAGAAAGAAAGAAAGAAAAGTTAGAATAACTTATCTCATTCCTTCACATTGTGCTCAGGTTGCTGAGGATGTTATAAGCTCTAGAATCCCATGTTTCGCACCATACCCTCATCCCCAAACCAGTGAAAGGATGAGAAATAAAGTGATGACAATTAAACATAACTTAGATTTGGAGGCAAATGATTTGTGTTCAGAAATCAATGTGTTCCTTTAGATACCTGAAGATTTTAAGTCAAACACAGAGAGGCAAGCCAATGCATACCAACTCTGATATTCAAAGGCTCTCTGAAGAATACTAAATAAAACCAAGCATGGTGTTTTAGATATACTTTCTAACTACATTGGGTATACTTTTTAAGTAACAACTTGAAATTCAGCTCTGGTTTACATCTCTTAAAAAAAAAAACTTGTTCTAAATTTATTTGTACGATGTCAATTACATGAATAAAATAAAAGCTGAGAAACTCTCCTTAAGAAAACGGGGTTGTTTTTTTTTTTTTTTTTTTTTTTGCTCGAAACCCTGTTCTGCTACCTCTTCGAGCTTCTTGAAAATGAAAATCTCTGTGTCTTCCAGATGACAGCTACCTTTTTGGTGGAACCAAAATAGCTCTCTAGGGTAGAAAGCTATCTGTCAGTAAGAGTTCTGACAGATATCTGATTTGGCATGCAGGAGGAAGGCAAGAAATGGTCCCATGGTAGGAGGTTCAGTGGCAACACCTGATGAGCTAAGGAGCGAGAGGAGGGATGCTTAGAAAACAATGCACTCCTAGACACTAGATCAAGCACGAGGAAACCAGTGGGCATTTCGGGAAATGACAGGTAACCTAGAGAGGAGAATAGAGCCATTAGCTCTTCTGGGATTTTGAAAAGGCTGTGCAATATGCAACGAACGGGAAAGTTTCCATTTGTAAAAGGAATCAAATCCACTTTCATGCATAGGATTTTCTCTCCCTCTAGTGGTGGGGTGGTAGTTTTTGAAGTGATATGCTATCACTGCATAAGATGTTTCCATTATAGCTCATTTTGCCCATAAAATTAGGATTTTCATCAGGTGTGCTGCTATCTCTTACAGGGTTTTTCAAAAACACCTCCAGCTCTTCTTGTTAGTGAGTGAATTGCCTCCTAAGCATGCTGATCAGCAATGGTAAGGTAGCAAGGTGCTCCCTTTTCTTTTGGCTAAAGGATTCCCATGCTCACTTCTGAGATACCAGGTTCCCTCTCCTCTGCAGGCCTATCAGACCAAGTCTGGGCCAGAAAGACCTAAGGAGCTACATGAGAAAGAGAAACCAAGATATCCTAGAGTAAAGGTAGGAAATATAGAAACTCATATAGGAGAGAAACTATCGAAGGGTCCAAAGAGTAATCTGAATATGATAGAAGAACAATAATTAGAGATAAACTTTGGAACAAATCTCTAATTCTACTTTGTGGTCTCTGTCATTTCTCTCGTTTTCTTTTTTGATCATGTGAAAATACTTCTGGTGTAGCAATTTGGATCAATGATAGTGGGTGAAAAAATAAAATGGATAGAAAAAGTAAATAATGATAATTTTAAGGAGAGTAACTGAAATTGGCTACACAAATGAATTAAATTGCTACATCATATTTGTATCAGAGTATTAATGGGAATAGTTGTAGGTAATAACTGTCTAATTAATAGATTATTTATTGATCAATAACTGAAAATCTATCAGTGTGAAGTATGCAGATTATGTGGCCTTTCTCCTGTTCCATATTCAGTTAGGCATCAAAGATGCCTACTTCACTTCTCTTGTCACGAAGGCAACCAAACTCATATTTTTCTGCAAATCCTCTTCTAGTTTCCTTATCTCAGTGAATAGCTCTATCACTCATCCAATTGTACAAGTCAGAAATTAGCCTTCCACCATCATATCCAACCCATCACCAAATCCTTCACTTATACTTTCTAAAGCTGTCTCATATAGGTCAATTTCTCTTTGCCTCCACTACGACACTATTTCATCACCTCCCTACTAAAAAAAAAAAAAAAAAAAAAGATATCCATACCATCCTTTGTCAAATGCATTATCCACATTGCCCTCCTTCATTCAACAAATATTTGTGAGGGGCCTATTTTGTACTCTGGTAATACTGTGTTGAATAAGACAAATTCTCCATAAACATCAGATCTTACTAAGTACTATGTGGAGAATTAAAGTAGGGAGACAATAGAGAATAGCTGAATGACTAAGTTGTGTGTACAAATTCAGGAAAACAATGATAGTTTCAACAAGGGGTGTGAGTTTCCAAGCAGGAAAAATAAAGGAAGTCCATGGAATGATGGCATCTGCTATCAAGGCTGTTTCGAATACTGGCCAAGAACATAAAAGAGAATGTAGGCATACTCAGGAGACATACAGGTTTAGTTCCAGACCACCATAATAAAGCAAGTATATGCACACCTCAGAAATATTGTGGGTTTGGGTTCCAGACCATCATAATAAAGTACAGTATTTCAGTGAGCCATCATCTTTTTGCTCTTGGAGGGTCTTAAGTACCATTTTATTAAAATATGCAACACCTGTGAAGTGCAGTGGAGCAAAGTGCAATAAAACGAGTTATGCCTGTAAGTTAAAATGCACTAGAAGGGCTCAATGTAGGTCTGTTTGTCTCCAAGCAACTCTCCTTTAGTATTAACACTTTTCACCTGCATGAAAGTATCCAGTTTTCGTTAACTTTTCTGTATGTCTTCCCTCCCAAGTATGGAAGCTCCATGAGCATGCTGTCTTGTTCACTGCTGCAACCCCAGTGCCTAAGAAATGTGCCTGGTATTGAGTTGACTCGCAAATAAGTATTTGTTGCATTAATGCACACATTGGTGTGTGAAGTGGGACAGTAGACAGAGAAAATAATTGAGCGGATTTGGGGGTTCAGGAATTCTTCCAGATAGGCCAAGGTCATTGACTTCAATTCGAAACGTTAACTGTGGTATAAAATCCCAGCCACTTTTCTCAGCCTCGGATCCTCCTCACCACCTGCTCTCCCTCAAACTCTTACACGTGCTGTTCCCAGTCACAAACCTCTCCAACTCCCCGCTAGGAGGAGTCACCCCTTCTGACCCGGAAACCCTCACTCTCTCTCCTCCAGTTCTCTGTCCCTTCCCTCCCCGCTTGGGTGCCTGCAGCCTCCGATTCGCAATGCTCGCCGGGAATGGAAGTCTTCCCGTTTGAGCCTATAGAGTTTCACGCATTTCCAAAACTACACTTCCCAGAGACCCTTGCGGCAGAGGGCGGCTGCGTCACCTGACGCACGGCTGTGGAGCAATGGCGGCGCCCATGCTGCGCTGGTGCTGTCCCGCTAGGCGTTGGATTTTAGCCAACATTGACCGCGGTCCTCGCCACGGAAGAGGGGCTCCGACTGGGTCCGGGTCCAGCGGGAAAAGGGGACAGAGCTCAGTGGCTCAGCAGCTCCTCGCCACGGCCCAGAAGCCGAGGAAAGGGTATACGATTTCATACCATACTGCCCAATCCAGTGTGAGGGGCAACTGCGGGACTGGGAAGACGACGGCCTCTCGGCTCCGCAGTCACTTTGGACATTCCCTGAAGTGGGAGGGCAAGATGTGTCCTCTGTGAGCCCCGCCTCCGCACAGAAACCGCTGTCCTCAAATAGATAATACGGTGTATTGGGGGAATGCGCAAGTATCAAGTCGCAGGTGTTTTCTTTTTTAAATGTATTTTATTGATTTTTTACAGAGAGGAAGAGAGAGGGATAGAGAGTTAGAAACATTAATGAGAGAGTCACCTATCAGCTGCCTCTTGCACACCCCCTACTGGGGATGTGCCCGCAACCAAGGTAACATGCCCTTTGACTGGAATCGAATCTGGCATCTTTCAGCCCACAGGCAGACGCTCTATCCACTGAGCAAAACCGGTCTCGGCACTCAGGTGTTATTAAGTCGAAAGCTACACAGACGGAAGAGTGGATTCAGTCACCTTACTAATCATCCCAGCAGTGGGGTCTGTGCCGCTAGAAGCGGGATCTTATTTATAGCTGACATTTACCATTACTGTGGGCCAGCAGTATTCTAAAGGTAGAAAGGGAGCCTTGACCTATAAGCGCTGGATAGTGGTGGCTTCATGTGCGTGGTCAGGAAGCACCACGTGCTGTGGAGGCCTCTCATGGTGAACATGTGTGTCTAGACACAGGAGGATGCAGCCAATACAAGAAATCTTCGCTCTGGCTGTGTAGAGAGCTTTGCTTATTTTGCTAGATATCCCCTGAACAGCTTGTTAATTCTTTACTATGTAAGACTTTTAAACAGTTTCTCTTTAAATACATCAGTTTAAGGCACATGTCTATTCTGTAACCCTATGAGATAGTTAGGTTGGCATTACTTGTCTTTCTCAGTTGGAGGAACAGAGGGGAAAGTGTACAGAAGATTGATTTCTGTACTTTTCATTAGATCACCTCACTGTGAATGGAAAGTATTTTTTTTTTCTCTCACGTAATGAAACTGAAAAAAGTACTTTGAATAATATTTTAGGGAAATGCAGACTTTCTAACAAAGTCTTCATTTAATTCCTCTCAATTATAGGCAATGCTTCTAAACTGTAAAAATTAATCTCACAATATTGTAGATATAGAACTTCATATGTTGGAATGATTGAAACAAAATCTAAAACATGTAAACAAAAATCTAGATAATATAGAAAATTGCTTGGGGAAAAAGCAGGATAGGAACAAAGTATGAGAAGAGTATGGTGAATAGGCTATCTGCAAATTGGGTTTTGGAAGAACACTTATAAGAACCTGGAGAGACCTGTATATGGAACATTCAAAGATCCAACAGAGGGGTGGTCAGATAAGAGAAATTATAACTTTTAACAGCTTCTTAGATTTTATAGCCATCAAACATAAGCAGATAAGCAAAAGAACTTGAACCTAGATATGGGTAACTGAAAGTGATTTGGGGACAAAAATAAGAAAAGCCAAATTGCTGGTTTAATGTTTTCCTGTGCACAAAATTTCTAGGACTATTATTTAGTAGTGATCGATTATATCCATGTCACTGATAATTTCACTTGTGAGCCATTGTTATAGAAAGGAATTGAAAACATAACAATTTCTCTTTTTAAATAATGAGATGTGCAGCTATTTATTTACCATTATTTCTCTAGTAGTAGAATCCTGACGTTAACTCTAAAAATGTGTACAAGGTCAGCTTTCTTCATTTGCTGAGTGATTAATTCATGAAGGACAGTTAATTTAGAAAAGGCTGTTTTTCACTGAAGTCAGCCAAGCAGACATTACCTGATACCCATTTTTAAATTAAGATGTCAAATTGTTCCTTTCTTGTGGCCTACTGTTTGTATAGTGAGCTCTCTATGCCACATTGTAAATGAATTTTATTTTGCTGGTCTTGTAGGTGTTTATCATGCATTGCTTTTGATTTAATCACTAATACAAGATGACACATTTTTAAATGTAAGAAAATAAAATGTTAATAAGTTAAAAACAAATAGGAAATTAACATTTGTGGCTTAGGCTCATAGAAATTTATGTATGGTGACAGATCTAACTATTGCTTAACCATTATATCTTTCTCTTTAGTGAACACCAATGGGCAGCCGTGGTGGGTTTGGAAATTCATGCCCAGATTTCCTCCAACTCGAAACTCTTCTCTGGATCTCAAGTCCACTTTGCAGCACCTCCAAATTCTTTAGTATCTTTCTTTGATGCATCTCTGCCTGGAACATTGCCGGTAAGATTTTTATTTAATACTCTTTACATTAGAAAGTGTTTATGTTTTATTGAACATAGATCATGATTACTTTGTTTTAATATCTTGGCATAGCTCTTAGGAAATATTTGCTTAGGGAATTTTGGATGAAATAGGATGGAGTAAATGTTTTCTAAAGACCCATCTCTATAATTTTTTTAAGTCTAAATAGCATGTTTATTCATCCATTTGTTTACTCATTTCACATGCATTTTAGAATGTCTACTAAATATCGGACACTGTGCTATAAACTGGAAAATAAAGATGAGCAATGATCCTTGCTTTTGAGTTCAAAGACTATTTGGGGAAGTGTGTTTTATAAACAAGTAAAATACTGTGTGATTACTCCTGGGAGGGTAATAGGCAGAGTATGAGACAGGTAATAAGTAAGAGAAGGACTATTATGAGAAATTGGAGTAGGGTATAGTTGGTTAAGAAAGGGTGTTGGAAGAGGTGGTATCTGAGAGGCCAGGTAAAAGTCAGGCAGATAAATGAAGGAAGAGGACTTCATGCCAGGGGTCTTGATCCAGCATCTAGAAGGGTTTTAGGAATCTGGAGAAGATGCTGTGTGTAAATTACATAATTTTGGAAGGCACTATGGGGGGCCAGAGAAGACTTAGCTAAAGGAACCAAGTTTTTCTGTCTCTCTGGACCCCTTGCTTTTTTTTAGGAATCTGGAGAAGATGCTGTGTGTAAATTTACATAATTTTGGAAGGCACTATGGGGGGCCAGAGAAGACTTAGCTAAAGGAACCAAGTTTTTCTGTCTCTCTGGACCCCTTGCTTTTTTTTACACAAATTGTCTTAAAGCAAGGTAGATATACATATCAAAGGCCAGGGTTTAGTACATAGACTCCATTGTCAGATTAGGAGAATTGCCTAAGGCTGTTCAGGTGTTTGGCCAGCAGGAGGCAATAACAGTCGATTGAAATGCCCTCAGCTGTCTGGCAGTAAACAGTCATTTAAGTCTCCTTTTCAGGTTTGGGGAAATGCCCTCAGCCATTTCCAAATGATTTAGCCCTACTGACATGCTGGAATTGGCTTCCGGCAACTTCAGTAAAAGGAAACAACAGCATATATATCACATGGTAGTACAATATAAGGCCAGTAATGATTATGGTTGTTGAAAATTAAGAAGTGATCAAAATGGGGGGGGGGGAGGGGGGAATTCAACCACAATATACATTAACTACTCAATTATCTACTTATTTTTACTTAAGCCCAAGGAATGACTGGGTCTAGTGTACTCATCAGCAAAATTTTAGCATATACTTTCATAGAATTGGCTGAATTTCAACCAATGGAAGGAACAGTGTGACTATTGGTGCTAATAAATGGCTCATAGTCTGTCTAGAACATACAGTTTCAGAGGTGGCGTTGCCTGTCATCTTTAGAGAATATCTTTATATGGTGGTGAAGAGGGGTGGGAGGATTATCGTAGGTGAAGTCCATACTCTCACATTTAAATCCAAGTGAAAGCTGGTTGAACTGAGCGCTGGAAGGTTTGTCGGTACAGAGGTTTACTTTTCTTAGGGTCACTGCCCAGAGTGGTAGGTTGTGAGCAGTGCCTCCAATGTGCCTGCTCTTCCAGGGCTTTGGTTGTATTGGGGCAGTTTATCTCAGAACATTTTCCTTACTTGTCCTTTTTGTCCCTGCAAACAGTATCTAAGGTCATCTTCATTTGATGTTGGGTCACTCTGGGGGAAGACAAGTATAGGGTATCTGTCTGCTCCTCCCTTCAGCTTAGAGTATTTGTCTATGGAGAGATTGTTTTTGTCTGAAAACATGCTGTTTTTCAGCTACAAATACATGAGTTCAGTGGGGTGATGGGAATAGAAGGTAATGGCAACAGATTGGAAAATTGGCGAGTGTTGAAGAAGTGAGGGAGTGAAAGAAGAGGTGAGAAAACTCTTTAAAGAAGTTTGGCTCTGAAGGAAAAGATAATGCAGTAGGTACAAGAAGACATGGCATGGCATCAGGGAAATTTTTTAATAGTCCTGATTTCCTTAATATGGAAGAGACTTGAGAATATTTAAATGTTTAAGAGAGTTATAGTCTGCAGTACTGTATTATATACTTAAAAATGTGTTTTAAGAGAGAATATTTTATGTTACATATTCTTACTGCAGTAAAATAATTTTCCTAAAATGCTGATAGGCCAATGAAGGAAGGGCAGTTAAAGAGGCATTTGATTAATATGGCATAATGAACATACACATTTCATCTGCCTTTCTGTCCACCGCAAAGAAATCCTGCTGAAATAATGATAAAATAATTTAAAAGTTATAAGCCTCCAAGAGAATAGTAGAGAAGACCAAAGTGCACGAGTGATGGTAGATGGAGAAGGATCTGACTAACAGAGCAGACTTCACTCTTTCAGAAGAAAGGGACAGAAAGCCTGCAGAAAGAGACACTAGTGAGAAATGAGACAGTGTGTCCTGTGCAGCTTAAGAAAGGGTCAAACTGGGATCTGCAGAAGGAGGTGAAAACAAAGGGGTCAATTCAGTCTGCACACAGCAGTGAGACGTAAGGTCCTCTCCCTGACCCTCTGCAGCTGTACACCTCCACAGAAATGCATAGTTTAGGGAGAAAGTCAGCTGGCGACACACTCCTCCTAAAGATCCAAAATAGGCAAAAGACACTGGAGTCAGATACTTACTGAATTCTGGGGCTATTCAGTCCTTTTACCTACCCTGCTTGAGGACCTCAAGTGATCTATAATAGAACTGCTATCTCTCCTCCTCTCTCAAGCAGGAATCTGTAGAAACTTGTTTGGAAAGGACATGTCCCTAGGGGAGAATTGGAGGTCAGGGGCAGAGGTTTCTCAGTAAAGTATAACATACATAGAAGGAATTAGACAATTGGGGGGTGGGGAGAAAATCAGGGGATCAATCTCATTTTTTCCAACATTTGATTAATAAGAGTTCCAGAAGAGAGAAATAGACAAGAGGAAACTATCAAACAAATAACAAGGATTAATTTCCCAGATTGAAGGACATGTCATTAGCTACCTGGAACAAGAGAGGACTATAAGATCAACCTTAATGGTGCTAGGACTTGTCTGTGGCTCTGCCACAGGTCAATCCAAGGCTTGACCCTATTGCCACTCCCTACAAAAGGTCACGTGCAAAGGAAAGGGCCTGCCAACAACCCAGAGCAAGGAGTAAAAATAGTCTCCCAGGCCAGGCACATCATCCCAAAGTGTAGGAATGCCAGGGATAAAGATTAGATATTCAAAGAAATGAATGGTTGAACTGTGTCCAGCATGGCCAGGGGTGAACCTGAAGAGGGGCAGTGAAGGATTAAAGAAGAGAGATACATTTAATCTAGGTAGGATCACTGTGCCTGGATGAGGAAACAGTGACACAGCCTGTAAACTGAAGCTTTATTTTATAGTCAGATCACACAAAGCAAAACAAGGGGAGTGGTCAACATGTTTACAATGTTCTTGTGAGTTTCAAACCTATTTCCTTACTCAAGCCTTATTTTGGCAGCACTTATTGCCCCTCCCACAACCCATTAGCTACCTGGGAACAAGGGAGGACTATAAGATCAACCTTAATGGTGCTAGGACTTGTATGTGGCTCTGCCACAGGTCAATCCAAGGCTTGACCTTATCGCCACTTTGCACAAGGTCACGTGCAAAGGATGAGGCATCAGAAAGGCATCAGACTTTTTAAAAGCAACACAAAGTTCAAAGAGAAAAGAACAGTGCCTTAAAAAAAAAATCTTAGGGGGAAAAAAATCATTCTAACTTAGGTACACAGCACTATAAATCAAGTGTGACAGTAAAATAATGGTATTTTCAGACAGGCAGATTCCCCAAAAATTTCCATTATCATGGGAAACTGCTGAAGTAATGGAGAGGTTCCAGACTGCCAGCTCTGCAGCAGGCATAGAGGGCCCAAAGGAAGGGGATGATGGAGGACTCCAGAACAGAGACTCCAGAAAAAAGAGAGGTGGACTGGGAATAGCAGGTATCTAATGTTTGTGTGGAAAAGATATTTTACATATAAACTAGAGTCTTTGAGAAGAATAAGCAATAGGTAATAAAAAGTGAAGTAAATGAAAGAGACCTATTAACTCCAAGAAATCTAAATGTTTAAGAAAGGAAACGTAGCCATAGTATACTTAACAGTTCAACAAAGAAACATACTTATATAAACTAATAATAATAATAACAATAATAATAATAAAGGCACCAACTACTGGTTTAACAAAAATGGATATAACTGGGATATTGAAAAATAAAAAAACTAAATTCTTTTCTACCATAACTGGAAGTCATGGTCTAAATTAAAACAAGAAAAAAGGATTGTAAGACTATACTTTTGGAACATTTTTGGTCATATGAGGGGAGGCCTCTTCTTTTTAAATCCTAAATTGGTCAGATGGTTTTTGTTTTATTTTTATTTTTGGGATATTATTTTTTTTTTGCATTTTACTTTTTTTTTTTTTTTTAAACAAAGCAATGAGTGAAAGGTTTAAAACTCAAGAGTCAAAGGTGTTTTCAACTAAGTTTTAAAAAACTTTATTTACCTACACTAATAAAAGAGTAAGATGCAAATTGACCGTACCTTCACGATGCCCACCAGCCAATCAAGAGTGAGTAGGCAAATTAATTCAACAAAGATAGTTAATTTGCATATGCAGGCGCCGAACAGCCAGGGGCAGTGTGGGATGCTTGTGTTGTTGCCATGGCGACGACAGAGGCATTCTGCACAGCTCCAGCCACTCTGGGCCTCTGGGGAGCGTAGGAAGGCGGAAAGGTGGCTTGGGTAGGAGCGAAAAGGCAGCTCCGGCCAGAGTGAAGGTGGTGCTGGCAGCTAGGAGAAGGAAGGCCCATTCTTGCACAAATCTTCGTGCATTGGGCCTCTAGTATGAAGATAATATTAATCATCAAATATTACCTCAACTGGTTCCTCAGCCATCTGCAGGTGAAACTTTTCTTTTTTCTTCCCAGAGTCCAAACAGTGACAGATG